GCCACTTTTAGTGCCCTTGGGTGGCAAAAAACTTTACCTCGAGCTCCTGTCCAGGCCTGTACTAATCCCCCGCAGTGGGGATATTAATAGGATGATGATGTATTGAGCATATTATTTGGTAAAAATTACAAGAATGACCTCCTCTGTCCCACAATATACATAAGTCATATATTAAATTTTTGAGCATTTGAGGATATTTAACGCGATGTATTTATTCCAACACTTAACAAAAGCACAATCATTTTGAAATATGAAGAAATCCTCCAGGAGAAGGTGGGATACGGGGGCGGTTCCTGTATGTTTTGGGGCGGCATGTCGTTCGAGTGCAAAACCGGCCTTGTAAGCGTCTCCCGGACTGGAGGTGCTCGCGGGCAAGGATCGCCGCTGACTGTTCACTGGTACGGCACATAGATCCTGGACGCACATGTGGTCCCCTATGCCGGTTTTGTTGGCTCGCCAACAACCCCTCGGGGTTCACATTAATGCACGATAACGCTAGCGCTCACCTTCAAGAGATCTCTGTCATGCAGTGGCTAGCGAGAAGTCCAGACCTGAACCCGATAGAGCACCTTTGGGACCATTTGAAACGCAAGGTTCGGTCTCGTGATCCCGCTCGCACGACTCTTCAGGAACTCGAAGAGGCCGTTATTGAGGAATGGGACAGAGCTCCTCAAATTGGTAAGATCAAGATGAGAGTGTATATACTTACTTACTAATCTAAATCAAATTAAGTTAAATTGAAATATAAAAGAAAAAGGCTTAGCAAGAAACACACACATACCATAACACACTCACACATGTATGGAAACCCACTGATATAAATAAAAAGAAATGATGGCTTAGCAATAAATTAAGAGTAAGCAATACTAAATTCGGTCGGGCTGTGGGGGCCTGTTGACACGTAAAACGGGTTCTAACCTGAGTTCAGGCACCAGTCTCCATAGCCAAATATTGTTAATAATATCATGTTATCGTTAAGCACAAAATGGTTATTTAGAAAATAAAGCTGATTTATTATTATTATTATATTTTGTTCATCCCACAAGTTTAATGCAAGTATTGTATACTACATGTTTTATCTATCTATATATATAATTTAAAAAAACTAAAAACACGCTTTATTTACTGCACAAAAAAGCCAAAAATAAACAAAATATACTCTTTGTTTACTTCATTAGGGCCTTAGAGTAAGCCAAGTTTATAGTTTATTTTAACATATATTTATATTACTGAAAAAGCGTGGGGCGCTATTCATTGCAACATTATTTTATAAAATCCATTAATACATTACGTGCTTCATAATGCTTAACAATTCAGTTAAAATTTAATAATGAAGCGCCCCACGCTTTTTCAGTTATTTATTTTGTCAGTTATATATATATGTTAAATCAAACTATTAACATGGCTTAATCTAAGGCCCTAATGAAGTAAACAGAGAGTATATTTTGTTTATTTTTGGCTCTTTAGTGCAGTAAATAAAGCATGTTTTTAGTTTTTAAACTATTAATTTATTTTACAGTTTTAGTCATCAGAAAAAATTAACAGAACATGTTAGGATGAGTCTCATGAGACCAAACTCGATATGTTTACTAGAAGCCAGTCCAGGGTCCATCAGCCACCTTCCAGTCCATCGGCAAGTCCTCGTCATCAGGAAAAATGAATAGAATATGTTAAGGCAAAGCTAATGAGCCCAAACTCGACATGTTTACTAGTAGACAGTCCCAAGGTTCCATCAGCCACCTTCCAGTCCCATCATCAGACCAGCTCGATGGTACCATAATATTGTATTGTCATCTAATCTACATATAATTGCCAAGATTCGTGATGATACAAGAATTACAAGGGCGTGTAATTCAGCTTCTTAGATTTCATAACATGTTACATACAAGTCGATCTAATAAAAGCGTGTTAAAAAAAATCAATTGTTGTTCGTTAGTCTCGCTAAAACTCGAGAACGGCTGAACGGATTTTATCTTATCTTGGTCTTGAAATGTTCGTGGAGGTCTAGGGAAGATTTAAAAGGTGAGAAAAATTATACAAAAACTGTAGTCTATCTATACTACAGCTCTACAACGAAGAGAAACGAGGACGGGCTACTAGTACATGTACCTAGTCAGGTCATAAATTCTGTCACATGTTTAATATAAAATAATTGAAACAAGTTTATTCATTATGTAACCATTTATATATACCAAAATAAACTTAACAAAACATAGATTCTTATGACAATAAAGTTTATTCAAAATGACCTCCGTGATTTTGAATACAGGCCTTCAATCTGCGCGGCCAGTCGTCTATCGCAGCACGAACGAGGTCCATGTCAATATCAGCGGCTACCTTAACCAAGGATGTCTTGGGTGACTCCAAATTGGGATGAGGCTTTGAGCACGCCTTTTCCTCCAAGTGTTGCCATATCTTGTAATCTAACGGACTCAAATCTGGACTGGAGGAGGGCCAGTCTTCGTGCCGGATGAAGTCGATTTCTCTCAGATTTTCTCAGTCTTGTGTGCTCCAGAATACCCAGTGCCTGTTATTGAACATGGTATGAGAAACATTTTCCACAAGGTTCATCAAGACTGTATTTTGATACACAACTGCATTAGTTTTTACCCCTTTCTTACAAAAATGTACCTCTGTCAAGCCCCAATAAGAAACTCCCAACCATACCATGAGCGAGGATGGAAAATTACCTCGTTGGACACGCGGAATACGGTTGCTCGCTTCTTCACTACTGTGTGCGTACACCTTATAATTTTGTTTGTTTTAGCTCTCTTCTATGGCAAAAATTTTTTCATCCGAAAAAAGAATTTCCCGACATTTTTTTCCTGCGTACCGTTTCAAGAAAGCGCGGCATCTCTTCAGTCTCAGGTCCATCCACAGAACATAGAACCTCTTTCTGTGTTCTGTGGGTCAATCAGACGAGCATTCAAACGATGTACTGTTTTTCTTCGATATGCCCAAAGCTCTTAAGTCTTCATTTAACACCCTTTTCACCGTGGTTCTGCTTAACCCCATCTGAAGGGCCAACAGTTCCTGCTTACGTTTGGGTTTTTTTTTAATTCGCGCCTTCATAGCTTTTACCACTGCTGGAGTCCTAACAGACCGAGGGCGAGCACTTCTTGACCTGTCATCTACACTAGAGTCTTCATTGTACCGTTTGATGGTACGATAAACGAATCTTTTGGTTATAAGTATTCAAAATTTTCAGTATGTCAAAAATTTGAATTGGCGCGTAACGGCAACGATGCAACGCAATAACTGCAACTCGGTCTTATTAAAGCGTCCACTCCATATTTAAAAATGAGTAAAATTCTAAAAAGTATACATTTTTAATTTCATGAACAATTCGAAATTCGAATTCAATAAACTTTATTGTGGCCAGCATTCTAAAAGAAAAGTTTTTACTGTGTGACAATACTTATGACCTGACTGTATATACGTAAGTGTGAACAAAAAATTAAGACATTGTTTAATTTTTTTTAAATACCTACATACATGTATTATACCTTGGTGTAAACCAGGGATTATAAGTAGTTGTCCACACCGACGTGATAAGAGGTCACTTTACTAAGGAGTCTGATTCAATTCCATACTTATGATAATATTTTATACATTTTATATTAATAGCGAGTTTCCTTAATTATTATAGAATTAAATAATTATCCATAAAAATATAATATATCTTTTATTAGCCTAATTGCAGAAATAAATAAAATATTTGTTTCTTAGGTTTTCACGCGCATCACTCATTAAATAAAACTAGTTTTGACGGGTTAATGCACGAACTTTATTTATTTATTGACGTTTCGCAGCCTTTTTAGGTCTGCATCGTCAGACCTGAAAAGGATGCGAAACGTCAATAAATAAATAAAGTTTGTGCATTAACCCGTTAAAAGTAGTTTTATTTAATAAATATTATTATAAATATTTAATTAGTTTCGCAAGGTAACCAAAGTCAATAATGTCTTGTTGATTTTTAACGATTGAAAATTTCGTACAGGTTATGTACTGTCGATATTCACAATATATGCTTCCACGCTACTATGGCCTGGCTGAGCATGAGAGTTGCTGCTTAAGATTAAAAAGACGTCGTAATTGTGATGACGTAAACAACAACGTGACATTTGATATTAGTCGGGTCTAAGATATTGTCCGGGAGCAATAGTATCTGGCTGTAGTCCATCTAAACAGCTTCCAAATCCCTCTGATATCTGATAAATATATGCCCTCTGATACGTTTTTCACCTGCACTAGAAATCTAGCAGTTGGCGCATCGATGAGTATCTTTTACTCTTACACTTAGTCCAACATAGAAGTAATATACTATAATACTTAACAAAAATAAAACAAACGTGCACTATTAAAATATTTTGTATTAATAAAAATATAACAAATAAAATAAATATTGCCTCCGTAATATACGGAAATACTAGCATAAAAATCCTACAACGTAAAGGATTATTTGATTTAAAACGAATTTCTTATAGAATAAATTATTTGGTCATACACAATAAGTACTTAAATATTCTTTTGTCATGATTTACTTATGATTTTAAATTAAATTAATGCACTAAGCTTATTACATACAAATCAATTTGATACCTGAACGTATTTACAAAGGGCCCTACCAACTTTCAATCTGTGATTTAATGTTATACAAAATTGAGATTCTTGCTAAAGACACTTCAGTATATAAGGAACTGATATTTAAGGCCGCTGTGCGGATTGCAACTGTTACATACTAAGTCTAAAGGAACTATCAATGATATTTACCTGTAATCTTATTCTACTTATATAATTTACATGTATGTTATAGTGATTTTATGGCTTCAATCCAAGTCAGTCTTACTCAACATAAGGTACAATTTTTTTATTGCACCCTCGTTCTCGTACACTCGTTTCTAATCTAACACAGCTCAAGTGCAGCCAAACGCACTCTGGAATGTACAATATGTATATCCTATATATCACTTTATAGTTCCTTATTTTCTACCCAAATGTTAGCATCCATTTTGATTTGTTTTCTCATTATTTTTAATATTCCGCACTCTTCGTGGTCCACCGGTTAATTTTTTCTCAATTTCTTCTAAGCTTATACCTCGAGTTTCAGGCACGAAGAATATAACGAATAATAATCCGATAAAACAAATTATGGTAAACAGCCACATGGCACCATACATCTTCAAAGCGATGCTGACATTTTTGAATGTTTTGGTTACAATGAATGCGCAAGTCCAGTTAGTAGTTGTTGCCATAGCTGCAGCCACGCCACGAATTTTCGATGGCAAGATTTCTCCAAGCATAAGCCATGGGACAGGTCCGAATCCAACTGAGAATCCCAATACGTATATGACCAGACATGCGAGGGGTAGCCATCCTAAATTTTTGACATCAACGCCAGAGTCGTTCAAATAACAATAAGCACCCAGTGTCACCATGGTAACAATCATGGAGACGCAGGAGATGTAAAGCAACATTTTTCTTCCTAAGCGGTCTATCAGAACCGTAGCTATGAAAGTAGAAATGAAGTTTACAATTCCAATGATAATACTTGATAAATTTTTATCGATACTGCTGCCCGCCATCAAAAATATTTCTTCTGCGTAGAAAATAATTGCGTTTATACCACTAAGTTGTTGGAAAATCATGAGGCCCAACGATATGCCAATAGCAGGCAAGTATTTCTTGCTGAATAACTGTCCAAAAATGTTTCCCCGGACGTGTTCAGATTCAACTTGATTGCGTGTAAGGTCTCTCAATTCCTTCTCGATATCGACATTCTTTCCCCTCAACCATTGCAAGGATTTTCTGGCATCTTCCATACGTCCCTTGGTCATATACCAGCATGGGGTCTCTGGTGTTAAAAGCATCAGTAAAAAGAATGGTACTGGAAGTGCAGCGCCGAGGTAAGCTAAGTTCGACCAATTAAGGTATTTCCCAACGACATACGCCAACAGGATTCCTGTATTACCAAAGGCGGTTGGTAGTAATCCAAGAGCACCCCTTACTTCTGGTTGCAGTGTTTCCCCAAGGTATACTGGGAAAGCTAATGTACCGATTCCAATGCATATACCGCACAAGGCTCGACCAGCATAAACCATGGCGACATTGCTTGCATTTGCTATAAGCATCCAGCCGATGAAAAATGGTACGGCTGTTGCAGAAATTGCTCTTCTTCGACCCAAGTAGCCGATTAGTGATCCACCGCCAATGCTCCCGACAAGTGCTGCCAATGGAAGAAGACCTCCAACCCAACTGCTCTGAAAACGATAAGTATGCGTTTATGAGTACCTAAATCAAATTATAAAGTAGGTATTTATTGAATTACTACTAATCAAAGGCTAACATTATCGCAGGGGGTTTTTCATATATTTATCATCCAAAAAAAGCATAATTTTAAAACAAACTATCAATATCTGTGTGTAATGTAAATGGAAAAATAGGTAAGAATGCAACATCAATAATAATTGGATCTGCATTATCTTTGACAGAAAAAAGGGGAATTTAAAACTATTTATTATTTTAATAGAATTTTAACTCGTCCCACTAAACAAAAATAATAATGACAGCCTCACCCAGAGACGTCAATTTAATTAGACGCTTCAAGTCGCCTGTCATTTTTATTCTGTTGTTCTATTTAGATTAGTGACAGTAAAAGGCGGTGCGGCCATTCACAAGCAATAGCAAAATTAATACTCACTCCTTCAGGCGTAAGTTGTAAATCTGCTGACATTTGTTTGCCTGTTGGAGATGTATAACCAGAGCTAAAGCCGACGATGAGGGATCCCATAGAAACAGCAAACGCAGCCAGTATCTATAACAAAATGATAAATTTTGTTGTACATATTATTATAGCATTAAAAAAAAGTTATCTATTGGGAACAGACCTGAAGTAACGCTTTGTTTTTCATCGTTTTATTATAATCTGTTTATTTCGAACTTCTTTGCGTTGTAGCGCAAGCCTTTCCTACAAAGCTATGAGCTATTGTAGGCGTCCGGCCCTTATTATGTACCTTCACAGAACCAACAACACACTTAAGTAGCAAAATATCAAGTCCACATGAAGAAACTGTTTGTTTGCGTTCAGACAAAGATAGATTTTACTTCGAATAAATGAAGTTATTGATCAGCATTCTGATAGAAATATAATAATAACTTACTGCTATATTTATATTCAGGTGATTATATAAATGGATGAAGATTTTTACTGCGATTTAGTAATTTGACTGAACTTTTCCTAAGATGCCATAAGAAACGACTAAAGGTTTTACGGATATTTCTGATTATTTCATGTCTTATTGTTTCATATTGATTTTACTGTTTATGAATTGCCATTTTAATAGAAACATACAAACCAATTTGTTATTAACGATTATAGCAGAAGAATTTAAGATAGTTCTATGTAAAAGATTCTGTATATAAAATATATAATAAGATATGTATGAATGTAAAACCCACCTGTGTCCACAAATAAATACGCTGCGTAGTAGGCGCATAAGGTTGACTATCTCCATTAATCGTGTAGTCAGTCTTGACTTTGTTGCTGTCTGTACTAAGCTGTTTCACAAACGGTACAGAATTCCGCAAATTCTCCTCCTTAGCACTCGTTATTTCCATTTCCATTTTGTATTTAAACTCGTTGCCCAAACTGATTTGTCTCAACTGTTGGAAATGGCGGCGTGTTTTCTCAAAGGAATCCTGTTCGTCCTCGCTGCTACTTTCGGTTGATACGTTCTCGTGTATAGTAGGGTAGATGGGTGCAAGGGTTCCTTGGGAACCACATGAAGTGGCGAGGGAGGTACAAGTTGTTGAAGCTGAGAGAGAGGGCTTCGAAGGTACCCTTGCGTATTTTGGGCCTCGTGCCTTATACAACCGTTCTTCGTCTCCTTGTCCGCGTCTTGTCTGCTCGTTTCCAGCCTGGAAAATTAAACACTCTCATGATTACTATGTCCTTTGTTGCACTAAGCACAAACACAAACATACATATTTCCACCGAATTCTTAGATCCAATATTTACACAGCAATTACCTTTAATGAAATAGTTACTTCATAACTTGGGGGCATTCAATACTAAAATGGACATCCGCAAATAGGGGTGCACATATTTATTATGTCGGATATCTAATGTGCGTAAGTGTTTGGCCCTAGGAGGTCATTCGGCCTCAGACAGCTTATTGACCACTGACAATCATATGACGGCGGCATGTCATGATAACCCGAAGATAATATGAATAGTCTACCCTGAACCGGTTTCGCGTTAACTATTTCTCTTTAAGTAAAAATCTATATTACACTGAAATTAATTATTTACATTCTAATATTAAAAACAGCAGTCGCTTGAGGACAATGCGAATAATGACCACCGACGACATCCCGTCAGTACTGTGCATGTCGAACGTTTGGCGTTATCGTTCGATCTACAGTAACATAACGATGTTTATAAAACATGAACTATAAACGTTTTCTTTAGTTGTCATACCTATTGTAATTGGGTGTTATCGTAAGCAATATAGCGGCGTGGGTCACCCAAACACGCAATCTTCTTCACAACACAGTTGATCCATAAAACTATCATTCTGTAGAGGTTCTCTACGTGGTTACCTCAGTTTCATTGATAAAAGTATTGTAGTTTATGTTATCCCTTGGTTTATTAGCCGTGAGCCAGTCCATAACTCGCTAATTTAATTAAAAAAAAATCCGAAAAAATAATTACTTAGCTTATTTATTTAGCTAAAAATTTATTAAGAAGTCGTCATACTATAAATTTTTTGTTGAGGTCAAAACTGTCATTCATATTTGTAAGCCCTTTTTTTCTTAATTTTACATATTTACTTTTAATGCCAGTCCCATTATATTTGTAAGCTTTGTATGAGACTTTGTAGAATGAACCCAACGATATAATGAACCTCAGAATAATAAAAGTTTGCTGCGCTTTGTAATTTTTGGGTACACAAAAATCTAAGCATAGATAAATATTTTAGAATCGAATGTAGTTACTTCCTGTAGGTACGTTTTTTTGGCTTAGTTTAATCACTTTATTACACAAACATTAGGTATCAATTTCAGTAAATGTAATAGGTATTTTATCTGTTCGAAAGATTGTGATGGTTTAATAATATGACGTTATTGAACTTTAATAACAATTTACGCCAGACTGCTGATACTGTTTGTATTTGTTTATATTTATTGATAAGTAGGTTACTTATCCTCTTTATATTATAAATGTTTGTTACTCCCTCATCTAAAATCGGATGAACGGATGAATTTGAAGTTTGGCACACATGCTAATTATTCCGGACACGTTTTAGAGTTTCTTTGAGACCTTCAAAGTAAACTAACAACAAAAAGTGTAACCGTCCAGAGATAGGTTTTCTGAAATTTTAATCCTCTTCAAAAGTTCGCCGGGGCATTTCAAATTCTTAAGTCACCGCAGACGAAGTCGCTGCCCAAGTATAGTATTTTAAATTTTTTCACTTTATTTAGAATCGAAAGTCCTGTGACTTAAAAATACGTCTAGATAAGCGTTGTTTAAAAGTAATTCTTTTTGTGGGAGTCGATCCTAATCCTAATTCAATATTGTTTCATAGTTCATATGTACCTATGTCTGTAGGCATGGTGGGAGCTGCCTTGTAGACCGCCTATCGTAAAAAGCAAACTAGGGCGAAACCTCTATCCTAACTATTCCAAGGTTTACGTATGTTTTTGCCCACATACTAAAAGTAATAGTATATTCTTCGCTCTTTTTATCTTGTTGTTGTAGCCGGATGCAAATACAAGCAATTATCTGTGTTACAAATAAATTGGGAAAGATCTTGTTTGGCTTGGCATTCTGACTCAGTCAATCGAACTCGTTAATAAAGTAAACATTTTGCATTTGATTATTGTATTGACAAATTTTAGCCAAGTAATACCTAAGCAGGGGCCCGTTGTTTAATACATAGTTAAATGTGACTATGGTTAATTAAAATAAATTAGAAAAATAATTTGTCAAAATGTTATGTATTTGACTTGTCATTGTCGAATAGTCGTATTTAACTACGTATCAAACAACGAGCCAGATGATCTTGCTCTTGATTTATACATAGTAAAGACTATGTATAAATCAAGAGTACACCATTATTATAAAGAGGAAAGATTTGATTGTTTGTTTGTTTGTATTGAAAGGGTTTCGAAACTACTGGACCGATTTGAAAAATTGTTACACATTTATAATTCTACATTATCTCTGATGAACATAGGCTGTAGAGTATTTTCAAAAAAGTTAGGGTTCCGTTTGAAATATTCGATAATGTAACCCAGGATGTGAAAAAAATACCAAAAAATAACCTTATGTCGCTTACGCTGCGGAAGTCATTGACAATAGAGCAAAGTGATGTACTAAAGTTTTATAGAGGACATAAACATCTACAAAAAAGTCCGCGATATCATATATATATGTCTAACTATTACAGTCGTCAAAACTAAAAAAGGTTACACCCGCGTTAATTTAATCAAAACGATTATAGTGAGTCAAACTTAAAAGATGGGCAAATGCTGTCGCGGTCTTTTTATAGAACTTTTAAAGGGGAACAATTCCGTTATAGGGTCATTTCGCCTGTTCGCGTCCATCGCCCAATTCGCGTCCATTTTACGGATCTCCCTTAAAAAATCCTCAAAAATAAGTAAACTAACACACCAATCGAACGAAAAGTAATTACCTCTAATACCTCAATGTATAAGAGGCACGAACACATGGACAAAAGGTAGGTGCGCCAAACAATCCCGGTTAAAAAAAATAGTTAGTCTCGGTTATTTATCAAGGGAGTGCGTACACGCGGGATATTTAGATAAAAAATAGCGTGCAGCGGCGCGTTCGATGGTAAGTTTATTATTTTTTTATGTTAATTATAGGATACATAACTGTTTCTAGACTTTTATAGTGAAGAAAGGAATAATTTTAATTATATTTTTCTTTATGTTTTTTATATTTAATGAATAAAATAAGGTGGACGCGAATTACTACATCGAAATTACAAAACTTCCAATTTGCGTCCGCAATGGACGCAAACCATACCTACAGGGGATAATAATAAGCCAAATTGCGTCCACTGTTTTCGTTAAATACAATTAATTAATTATAATTTAAAATATAGGTATTGATTATTATTATTATATATTTTTACTAAGACTACGTGTTTATAATACTATTTTTATATGAAATGAGTTATTTCAATCAATCAATCACGTACTTTGTTTGTTCATTCTTATTTTTTTCTATTTGAGATGAGTTCTTCGGAGACAAGAAAGTAGACGGAAAAGAGAATATACACAGAAGACGATTTAAAGAAAGCGTTATATGAAATTCGAGAAAATAATAAATCGGTAAGACAAAGAATATGCTATTCCCAAGACCACAATATTGTACAAAATCAGTGGGCACAGACCAAATGAAGTAGAAGAACCGGGACCAGACACCACCTGATGCTACCCGAAATTTCTAACAAAGCACGAAAAGATAATAAAAGAACTCTAGCAACCATATCTTCTGCTGCATAGAGTAAGTATTATGAAGATAAAGAGCAGATCAAGAACGAAAAGCAGGAAGCAATACAAAAAGAAAGTTAGAACGAATAGAGAAACAAGAACAGAAAAAGTGTTTAAAACACTCTCAAACGCTTCGTAAAATTGCTCCAAAACGAAAGAAGAAGATACATGCTCTTCAAGAAGTCACACAGGAAATCAGGAATTCTAAAAAGAAAATTTTCTGGATGTGACGATATACTAATTACAGATGTAGAAGACGACGATGAGAAAAACATAGGCTGTGTATCAGATGGTATCATCTGAAATGCACGCGATTTGTAGGATTTAGTTATTAAGAGGCCAAATATATGTCTTTTGAACAATTCTTCTAGTTGTATGATTAGACAATTGTTGTATTGTTTTGTTGCTTTAATATAGCTCAAAACTTATTGTTAATAATATTTGAGTTTTAGACATAATAATATACCTCGTGATTTTAGGGTAAAATTAACTGAACTCATTACTGTTTATTCTTAAAGGTGTAGTAATATTTACCTACTACTTATATAATTTTAAATTCAATCAATGTTGAGAAGGATATTTTTTATTTTTTTAAAGTGAAGTTTAATGATAATAATGTTAAGCGTAAGCGACATAAGGTTATTTTTTGGTATTTTTTTCACATCCTGGGTTACATTATCGAATATTTCAAACGGAACCCTAACTTTTTTGAAAATACTCTACAGCCTATGTTCATCAGAGATAATGTAGAATTATAAATGTGTAACAATTTTTCAAATCGGTCCAGTAGTTTCGAAACCCTTTCAATACAAACAAACAAACAATCAAATCTTTCCTCTTTATAATAATGGTGTACTCTTGATTTATACATAGTCTTTACTATGTATAAATCAAGAGCAAGATCATCTGGCTCGTTGTTTGATACGTAGTTAAATACGACTATTCGACAATGACAAGTCAAATACATAACATTTTGACAAATTATTTTTCTAATTTATTTTAATTAACCATAGTCACATTTAACTATGTATTAAACAACGGGCCCCTGCTTAGGTATTACTTGGCTAAAATTTGTCAATACAATAATCAAATGCAAAATGTTTACTTTATTAACGAGTTCGATTGACTGAGTCAGAATGCCAAGCCAAACAAGATCTTTCCCAATTTGTACTTGTAATACTACTTATATAATTTTAAATTCAATCAATGTTGAGAAGGATATTTTTAATTTTTTTAAAGTGAAGTTTAATGATAATAATGTTGGTTTTAATATTTATTTTAGAATATAAATAAATTGTTAAAATACGTACAATCTTTCTATAAAAATGCTTAAAAATATCACCCCTATATTCCTTTTCTAAGGTAGTGGACGCTAAATGGTCTACGGGTGGACGCAATTTGGCTTTTGTGGACGCAAAGTGTGTAAAACCCCTAATTCCGAAGTTTATGTATTTAAATAAAAAAACAATAGATGATTCGAACAAAACTGAAAGTTAATCTTAAAATAGACTATATAACGAACACATTACATAAAGTTTTCATAGAAATTAGTGCTGGGATATTATCGCCGTCAAACTTGCCAACTGCACTAAATGGACGCGAACAGGCGAACTGACCCTACATGATTTTTGTGTAACTTTAATCATTTACGCAACGCACGCAACGGAATCTCCCAAATCCAATATTTTTACCTGTTTTTGCAACATTTTACATCGATACTCGCTCCTTCCGGTCGCAGCGTAATATTATATAGCCTTAAGTCTTCCTCAATAAATGCACTATCTAACACAATAAGATTTTTTTCAAATCGGACCATTGGTTCCTGAGATTTGTGCGTTCAACCAAAAAATGGTGCATTCGGTCAACTGGTCCTAAACTACGAAACAAAATTTTCACAATTAGGTAAAAAACGTTTCATGGAAGCCTTATAATTATAGTATAAAAAGTCATTGTGGTTAATATAAGCCTGAGAACAGAAACTATAGTCTACAGTACAGCTCTATACTGAAGTGAAGCGAGGGCGGGCCACCAGTCAAAAATAAAATATTTGACATAAACAAAAACCGACTCCATAAAAACAAAAGGGATCGATCTATCTGCTATCTGAGTTGCCATTTACTACTTTTTTGATAACAGAAAAATAAACCGATTTGCTGGCATACAACTTGCAATGCACAATCTTGCGAGGCGCTTTCAGGACCTGCTATAGGGGTAACGGCAGACTTATCATATCACCTAGTGCCCTGTCTAACCAGCACAGATTACTTAATATTACTACTGGCGACGCGCGACGGCCGAATATTTAGCTTAAAGTTGTCTCTTAATATTGTCAGTATTACTTTAATTTACATTTGAGTAAGTAAATTAAAATTATTATTTAGAAATGTTCTGGTCTTTGTTTTGATAAACTTGTTTTTGATTTTTTTTAATGCCACCTAGTATGATTACCTAGACATTGCTTTATGCTTTAGTTCTGAATTATGCCACCACATAATGGCGGAGCCACTGTTCATTGCTTATCTTTAAAAGCATACAAGAACTTTATAATATTTTGGGTAGGTGGCGCTGATCTATTTCCAAATAAGCTCTACATGTAGCGCAATCCTTCGTCCATGCTCTACAAATACTTCATTAAATTTGTTTTTTTAACCATGTGACGATGCAAGTATTAACTTTTATTTTTGGTTAGCTAGGAAAAATATGAAAACCCACTTTCACCAAAGTTTTAAATTTAAAAGCTAAAGCTAAGGCTCGTTATATCTCTATTTGACTTTAAATAATTAACATAGATGCAATGGTGTGTAAAGCACGATTAAACCCTAATTTGTACTTTAGTGCAATTGGGCCTAAGATAGTCTAAGGGCCCGAGGTTTAATACATAGTTTAATGTGTCTTTAGTTTTAAAAATACATTAGTAAGACACCATTTGTCAATTTTTTTTTACTTTTTACTATGTATTTGACGTGAGTTCACTAATAGCCATATAATATGATAGTTAAATATGACTCATATTTAACTATTAAACAACGGGCCCAAATGGGAGTGAGCCTTACTCCAATAAAATTTGTTATTTATTTTGTTATCGTTATTCGATTGACATAATAAAATAACTCATATTACAATACGAGAAACGATCAATGCGTTGTTTAAAAATCTGTAACATAATAGTTAGAAATCCTTCAATTGCAAAAATAGAATGTTTATCTTTTTTCAAGTTTGTAACCGTTCTGTTGCAAGTATTTTCTTCCTCATATAGCAGTTGACCTCGCAAGGCCATCGGGCTCACGTCAACCATTATTTTAACACATTATTGCTAGTGGTTGTTATTTTTTTTGTGAAACTAATTATTTCAATACATGAAAGCTTATCACATAGTTGTTGATTATATATGAAGTTTGTTCAGCGGTAAATTAGTGGTTGCCGGGCAACCGATTGAATCGACCGTCTGCCTCCCGTATTGCGGGTGGCGCGAACGGATGGCTGTGTGCCGGCCGTCTAGCTTTCCGATATGGAAAATTCGAGAATCTTTATTTCCTTTCACCTTCCACGTGCATTTGTTTATTCTCATTTCTATAGATGACCAAAAATGTGATAATGCCAGAAGTGAATAACTCTACCATTCTCCAATATCGTTCGAAGGAATTATAATTGAAAAGAGAAAGGAACATTATAGACAGGTTTGTGTGTGGTAAACTTACCATTTCAGTGGAAAGCTGCTTCAAGTATCCCATGATTTTCCCCATCGCGTTGGGGTTGTTCTTATTGAAGCTCATCTTGAATATTCTTCTTTACAACCAGTCGGTTAAGGCCTCACGGAAGACGTCAAGGAACGCCGAAATGAAAATGTCTATAGAATTGCACGCAGTATACTTTACTTGTACAAAATTGTCCCTTATGATCCAGGATCGCGAGTTCACTTAGTAAAATAACACATCACTCGCGGACTTAGAACTGTCGCGGCTTACAAACTGTATATAGAACAGTCTTCGTCGAGATTTGACACAGTTTATAAGTGAAATGCGAAAGTAATCGTTGTATTGTTGCAGATAGGTTCGAAAAATTATAAATTGTTCAAGCAAACTTTGAAATTGGCGCCACAACCTGTAGGGGGGCACAACATTCAACTTTTATGCACAACAAACGAAATGTTGGCAGCGCGTACTGGGTTTCACAGAGCTCAAGTTCTCTATTGAAACTTGCAGATGGCATTGTCGTGGTTTTATACTGTAAGGTTGGCAGGCCGGAGCCGCGCGCCGGTAACACCGCCCCCCCCCCCCCCCCCCCACACACATCCACACCTTTTGCTTGCGTCGATGCATGCGCACATGTGTGCACACTCACACTAACTCAGCTCAACAGTTCGTTTGTGAATTTACCGTGATTACAGTCTGTAATAGATTTGCACTTACACTGTGAAGTAGGAATTTGGTTACTCGGGTTATTAGCAAATAGCTCGTTTTAGCATTGTCACGAATCGGATTTTCCACATAATTTTAGTTGGACTCTACATTTTGTTACATTTGGTTTAAGAGTATCTTATTGTTCAATCTTGCGATTTGCGGTAGAGCTCAGTTTGATACACGATCATATTTTTTGGTTTTATGCAGCAAAATTTCCTTTCATAACTACCTACCTTGTATTTAATGAGCATGCAAGCATAACTTTATCTTTTTTCATAAAATGTTTAATGTAAAAGCTAAAATTTTCTTTAAGGGAAAAAGTAGTCATGTAAGTACTTAACAACTACTTGAAGAAAAAATTAACTTTAAATTTATTTTTCTTATACTAGCGGCCGGCCGCGACTTCGTCCGCGTTATCTTTAGTTTTTTGAGAATCCTACAGGAACTTAACATTTTTCCAGGATAAAAAGTATCCTATGTCTCAATCCAGACTACAAACTATATGCGTAATAAATTTCATCTAAATTCGTGCAGTAGTTTTTGCGTGATTGAGTAAAAAAATTCAAATATACAAACTTTTACATTTATAATATTAGTAGGATGAACCTTTTGTGAGTATACATAAGTTTGATGCAACAAAATAATTCTTAAAATATGTTTTCTCTTAAATATTAAAGTTATGCAACATTGATGTAGAAGAGACAAGCAAAAGCACGAAAAATAACTATTATATTTTGTTAGTTTTGGTCTTTGGGACTGCGCAGATCGTTATTCTAATCTTTGCTCCTTGTTCGTAACACCCGTTTGTTTTATATATGTAGTCCAGTCAATGAAGGCTTAACTTTGCCATTTTGAGTTGATCACCTGCAACCAACGCGAAAATTTCCGCAAGGGTTCGTAGATTAATATACTCAAATTGCAGGGTGCTGCATTGACGGCAAAGGGTGAAAAAAAAAATGCGAAATGGTGCAAAAACGAGTTTTTCGTCAATATCTCGCGACTGGCTGGAAAAATAGAAAAAGTTCCTAGTACAAAGTTGTAGAAAATTTAATTTCCTACAAAAAAGGTATCAACATATTTTCGCGTATCTCCCATAGTTTTTGCACAAAATACAATTAAAGGTGCAAAATAAAAAAATAAAAAATATTGTTAATGGTTTTTTTTCCCTATTTTAAACGATCCTACGGGTCAAATTCAACAAACACCAATTACTGAAATATTTAAGGATGAGTTTTCGGCAGTCCACTGAAATGAAAATTGTCTACCGAATTGGTAGAAAATTACCACCGAAATGATACAGCCAAGAACATCGCCTTTGTAGTAGAAAGGTTCCCTATTTTGAATTTAAATAAATTTTCTTATTCTTTGTAAATATATTTGTTCATTATTTTTTATAAGAATTATTAATGAAGAATTAATTAATTGTTACTCCTATTAATTATTATTACTAATTATAATTATTAATATGTACATTTTCAAAATAAAGAACAAAGCGCGTTTAGAAAGTGAGAAGTTTATTAGTTAGTAAATCATCCCCTTAGTGCCAAAACAGATTATCTGCACTTTTCCGCTACTGAACTTTTATAATACCAATCGACCCGTCTCATTAAGCCGCATCTACAGGTAAAATCCATTATGCTCTACGACGCATACTTCCTGAAATAGCCAATGAATAAACAGAATAACTGCAAATTATTTCCAAAATTCTTGATTTAAAACCTAATAAACCCATTCAAAACACTTAAGTTTGTAAATGTATTACCGCTGAAAACAAGTTTCGGATTTAAACTCATTTTTCATGTAGATACTTAGAGTAAATATCCTGTGAGTATTCTGTAATTGGCTTTGACTGTTGTTGATTTGACTGTTTGAATTTTACCAGATATTTTAATTTTACTAGATGAAGTAAAAACTAACAAGTCTGTCGCTTTTTGCAAAAAAATATAAATCATATGTTTGCGTTATATTTGAGGCAAGTAAAAGAGGATAGACCGAATCGATCGACAGGTGACCTTTTAGCGTACGTGACATATATCTGGGGTGAGGCTATCGATAAGCGAGGTGAGTCTTTGGCTATCAGCCTTAACATCGCCAAGGCTTTGATAGGGTCTGGCACATAAGTCTTCTCTCCAAGCTTCCTGGATACGGTCTGCCTACTCAGTTCTGTGCCTGAGTGGCTGACTTCCTGCATGAGCGTCAACGGACGGCGACGGATGTAGTTCGCAGTTCATGTCAGTGAATGCCGGTGTTTCTCAGGACTCCGTCCTATCCCCTACACTCTTTTTACTGCATTCAATGATTTCATTCCGCTTGAAAATATTCATTGCTATGCAGACGATAATACGGTGCATGCGGGATATTTTGGATACGCAGCCGCTGGACAGGTAGAAACCAAAGAGAAACGGGAGAATCTTGTCATTGAACTCAATCAAGATTTGGACCGCATTTTGGAATGCAGTAACAAGAACTTAGTTGAGTTCATTGCCAAGAAAGCCCAGGTCTGCGCTTTCACGGTTAAACTTACGTTTTTTCACGCCTGAGCAACTGTGCTTGTTGTACATGACGTAAGTACGGTCTTGCGTGGAATATTGGTGGATGGCTCCGCCAAGTACTTTTTTGATGCTTTGGATAAGTTACAGCGGCGCGCGATCCGCATTATTGGCGATAAGGAGGTGACTAAACACCTCGAGCCTCTTCAATTACGCCGTGATGTGGCGTTATTAAGCGCGTTTTATCGTCTATACCTTGGCGCATGTTTTGAGGAGTTATTGTCCCTTAACCTACCTTCCCCTTACCTACAGAAGTCTACACGCGCTGGCTTACGTTGCCACCGACTTGCTGTGAACTACTATTCCCACTATTCCAACGTGAACAAAGAAATTTGGTAACTCATTTCTTTGTCAGACTATCCGCAAATGGATTACTTTGCCCTCTTACGTGTATACAGTAGCAATTCTGCAGGCCGGCAAAATGAGGATAGCTGGTGTGGCAAGTAATACTGCTGTACCAGCTATCTTCGCGTCTAGACTCCTCCGTCACCTAACCTCTGGTCATTTGTTGAGCCATATATGAAAAAAAATCTATAGCAAAGATTTTTTTTATTTTTGCTACAAAGGTGTCATATCTGAGGAGAACCATGGATTATGCAGATCTTTGGCTACAGAAACAAGCCAATCTGATCGTTTGCCTTCAGGAACCATTTTTGATGACTCATCATGTGCAAGCGAGTCAAGTACAGATGAATAATACAGTTTTTTTTTACACTTTTTTATATTTAAATACTATCGGCCGCCAACGACTTCATCCGCTTTAACTTTAATATACATTTTTAAACTAGAAATTTGAGTTATGATTTTATTTATTTTTTAAGCATTTAACTGGTAGATGTTTAAATCTAAAGAAAAGTTTACTAGAAAAAAATCCACGCGGACCAGACGGACCGTCCGCTGCCTGGTCCGCGTGGATTTTTTTCTAGTAAACTTTTCTTTAGAAATTTTAGATTGAAATACTACTGCATCCGAAATATCGAACCTACAGTTTCTAGGTAAACGTACATCACAAACCGAAATTATTTAATATACCTATATTGACTCCAGGATCTCTAAAAACTTATGGATGTATCATTTCGGCGATACTTTCATTCCCTGGACTCTTCTTGGCATTACAGTCCACCGTATCAATTGTCCCCATATCACTGAAATGGTATGCTTACTATTTGGCGGGAATCCACAATGACGTTGTTGCGCGTGCGTGTGATCCATCTAAGGCGGCCTGGCTCGAAGGGAGCACTGACAAGCGGGATACAAAAACACAATGTAAACGAACCTATTTCACAAAAACTTACTGTCCATGGAAATGATAACTTTTTCCAGGACAATAGTTGAGTGCTTGTTATATGTATAAGAAAGGAGGTAAACAAACAATAGTGGTTTTTGTTGATAGGCTATATTATATATTATTGATATAAAAGTTTATTTCAATCCAAAAAATAAAAGTAACTACAGGGGTAGTAATTTTAAGAGAGGAACTGGGTTTAGAACAGGTCACCGTGATGATAAAATGCCACTTCGTATTTCTTTATTTTATGGATTTAGAGCCCATTACTCAATAATTCTTTTTGCCAAGGTTGAGAAGTACCTACTTAACCAAGAAAAAAAAATCAAAATCATAAATCAGCACATTGCACTGCCGCTCTGAGGAATACCGTGTATTTTTTTTTGCTCGGGGAGTTTACCCTTACATGCTTCATTAGGATTTAATTAATATGTTTCGGGTATTTTTTTATTTATTATTTCCTTTTTTCATATAATAATTATGACAAAAAAAAATATTTAAATTTTATTATATGATAATGATAATACATATTGCAAATA